TGCCGAGGGCTCCTGGCGGTGCTGGGACCCGCCGCCTCACCTGCGCCCGGCCCCGCGGCGTGTCCCGGGACGTTTCGCGGGCAGCACCTCCGCTTCGCCGAAGCATCTTCGGCTTCGGGATCGATGTCCTGTAAGAAACGCGGCGGGCGGGGGGCGGGGAACGTACGGCCCCGGCTGCTCAGCCCCGGCCGGGACCTGTGCCACTCCGAAGGATGCTGCGAGCACTCGTGCACTTTGTACGCAATACGGTGTCCTAAGCAAATGAGGAGCGGAGTGCGTGTACTTTCACTCTTAGCAAAGCAGGAAATAAGCCGTCAAAATAAGTCCAAGACGTGTAGCAAAATATGCCAGAGTTAAACATATAAAAAATCCCTGAAAAACTCGTTTACTATATCTGTGTACGTTTAAAACCATGCCGTTGATAACATGAATGATCTGCAGCAGCAGAGATGAATGTAGAAATCTGTATAGCAATGTATACTCAGTAATGTTTAAGTCGTTTCACAAGGAATGATTTCGTCAGCGTGGTGAGTTCTGTGATTAAACAGATTTTGAGGTGTTTAAGTGCAAAGTATTAGCCTGAGATTGCTTCTCAAGGCAATAGTAGAAAGACAGACACATGCATAACAGGAAGACAGAGTAGACTCCATTGTCATTTTCTGTCACAGCTACATGGACAAAGTTATTTTGAATTAGAGTATTATGCCCATAATAAAAAAAAAAACAACCTTTTTTTTTTTTCTTCATTTAATGCATGTCAGCTGAACGAGTTAGCACTGAGTATAATGAAGAAGAAAATCAGTGTTTATGCAAGGTGTTCGATATCTTCTGGTGTAAAAATGTCCCCTCTGTAGAGACACAATCTCTCTGAAAGAAGAAATTTAACAGAATTGTCTTAATTCCCGTTTCATAGATGTCTGTGGTAGTTTTTATAAGTGATTTCTGTATTGATAGGCCACTGACCATAATAGCATTTAGTGCAGACTAAAAATAAATTGAATGCACTCACCTTATGCAGGGTAACAGCCTGCTGGGCAAAACAAGAGCTGGTGGGAGTAGAATAGGAACTGTGAGCTTTACCCAATACAGAAAATCTAAGTAAAACTGCAAACAGTGTAGCATTTTAATTCTTTATACTGATGTTCAGAACAAGGCAGCATCAATACTGAGGTAAATCCGAGTTCTTTGACTCACAGTCACACTGTTCTTGCATATCAACAATTTCTCTCACCTTCCCAATGTGGCACCAGTAACTGGGATTCCAGAGGCACCTGCAGAAAATGCCACCAGAGGTCATAGATGATGATGAGTTTTCTGACCATAAGTCCAATAAAGCGTCCCTAAATAGGACAGGCTGGAGGTGCAAGGTGACAGTGTGGGTGCTGTGCAGTGCTAAGGGGACCAGGTGAGGGAAAATATATCCCAAGTGTGCCAGCTTTTTAATATTATGAATTATCAAATTTAAGTTAAAAATGTTATTTGGTCTGTTGAAGCTCAACATCTGCCTCAGTATTTTTATAGGTTATGACCTTGGTGACCAGCATCCTTGAAATCTACATCTAATACCAAGGCATGTATCCCAGAATCTGCCTGCTGAGGCAGGGTCACTGCAGGTACTTTACCCTCCAAGTGGATGGGGTGGTTGAACCAGGTCTCTTGAGTACATCAGATTTTCATTTGATTGAACACATCTTAAAATTAAGAATTCAGATTTTACTATGTAACTTTATAATATAATAATTATGGGCTTTGCACAAACTTTTTTGAACACAAATAAAAACTTTTCTGTCTGCATTATTTATTTTAGAAGCTTGCAAAAATACAAAAATCTAAGACAAAATCTTGGCATAAATGTGAACAAAGAAACATTTTTCCATTCATAGATTATTGAACCATATATATAGTCATACTTGCCTCCAACAACTTGGCCATGCAATTCAATAATCAATTTTAAGAAAGTTCTTATTGTATAAGAATCTTGACCTTTTGGTGAGACAGAGAAGTACATAGGGCAGAAGATGTTTTGAAAAGGAAGTGTAAATTAGAACAGAATCTGAGTCAATCTAAACCTTAACTCCTTATAAACAAGTAGAGCAAAAGCAGTATCCCTGACATAGGTGGTGCTGTCACAAAAAAAAAAAAACAACAAACCAGAGCCTGGCAGAATGTGTGTGTCGTTTTGGGTTTTATTAATAGAAATAGTTTCATTGCGGTACCAATATATTCTTCTCTTCAATATTCTTAGATCTTCCCATGAAACGTTTTGGGAACTGAATGTGTTCATTTTGATAAAAGCAGACACCCTTTGTTTCTTTTTCAGTTTAGAAGCTGTTGAAATAGGTTGGTGAGCACTGAAAGACTCTTTAAGAAAAATGACACGTTACAGGCTTATCAAAGGATGGCTTTTTAATGCAGACATAACTGTGCTATGTACTTTTTAAGATGGAAATCTCTTGTTCTCTACAGTCACAGTCGGGACTGATGCTCTCTGAGTGCTCTAATAGACAACATAGAAATGCTGATGATATACAAAAAACTTGAGTTTCTTGAAGGCTTGCTTCAATCAGGAGCCCCTTAAACTTATTTTCAGTAGAGACTGAAATCCAAAATAACTGTATGTGCTTTTTGCCTAAAAGGTTTCCTGCATTTAAAGTCTGCTGTATGCATTC